CATCATGCAAAGTGAGATAAAAAGTGCTAAACATAATTTACAGTATCCATCTGGCTCTGTAGAAGATGAGGGACTGAAAAAAAAATCCTGCTGTGGTCAGGCAAACACTGTCATTCAAGAAAAGGAATCCAAGTATAAATTGTGCAATAAATACCAAAATTATGGAAAAGAACTGTGGAAGCCATAAGGGATCTGTGATTGCTGTTGATACAGATACATTTGGACTAAACAGAAAAGATGAATTATTAATAATTTTTAGCTTGTTATAAAACATGCAGAATAGCAGTGTAAAACAGACTCTAAATCATAGTTTACATGTCCTGGATTCCAAATGAGCTAAAAACCAAATAATGATCTGCATTTCGTAAACTACTTGTTTCAGCAATTTGCTTGAGAAATTAGATCAAGCAAAGTAAAGTCCTTATGAGGCACTGCCACATAGGTTAGCAAGAGGTCTGTTTGGTAAATATAATAAAGAACCAGAGGTCCAAGCAAACCACGTCTGGTCTTATTAGATTATTACAGCACTCTTCTCAGTGCTCTGTTGAGATTTCCTATTCAAAGAACTATGGGCAATAAGGGAAAAACCCATAGATATGTTATGCTGGCAATGTTTAAGCATTGAAAAAGAGCTGTTTGTCTAGAAATAAAAACCGAACAAATGCTACAAACATAGCTAAGACAAGTGGTGTTGAAAATGGAAGGGAAGGTTAGATTCAGTCTGATTCTATAGCTACCAGTTGAACACAGTCTCCTCTCAGCTACAATGAAGTCAGATGGCAGAAACCTTCCAAAGCAGTTTTCCCATTATTGGACCTGAGAAAAAGGCAAAAAAACTAAGAGGCACCCTGTCTCCATGCATTTTAAGAAACAGCACAATAATATGTTGACAACACTTATGGCATGACAGAAGCAACAGCTTTGTATTCAAACACCGTCCAGCAATAAAAAAGTTTAAATTAAAATACTCATTGGCTGTAAAAGGAATAATTGTGTAACACATGATACTGTCTGAAAACATTGATAGCTACTGACTTTTAGATTAGATGGCTCTAGTTGTGTATTTTATTAACTGACTGCTTCAGTTTGTCGATGTTACTTTATACCCACTTGCTGTTAAAAGAAATCAGTATAGCAGCTGCTACTGACTTGCGCAAAACAAGAAAGAGGGTAACCTTTGGGTAGTACTGATCCACGTGTCTGCACTGAAGCAGAAAATAAGTTTGATCTCCTCCCAGCACATCTTTATTTATAATATTACACATCTTGCAGAATTTGGCAGATAAAATAATCTGGTGCCTCTCATTTCAATTAGTTTCATGTTCCAGCTGCTGGATCTGGTTATTATTTTGTCTATGCAAAGAGCATGCTACTATCAGATGGCTTCCCATTGCATAGGTACTTCCACTCTGTGTTCAAGTCAATTATAAACCTTCTGGTAAACAGTTTCAAGCAATTGGCTTTTTGTGGCATGCTGTCTTTTTCTTGTTTTTCAAACCACATTTTTGTAGCTCTTCTGCAAACCTCTCCCATTCTTTCCACATCCTCCTTTAGCACTGACACCTGATTAGGATGTCCAGAAATAGTTTTGCTTAGCCCAGAGATAAACGCACCTCATGGTCTCATTGCATATTCCATAAAAAATAACACATTTAGCAGATGCATAGCACTGAGAGCTCCTCTGCAGCTGGATAATCCCAGCACCCACAATTCCAGAGATCTTTGCAGAGCCACTGCTCTCTGAGAAGGAGCAGCTTGTTTCATGGGGATGACTGAGGCTGTTCCCAGTTGCATGACCTTGGCTCCATCTCCTCTAAAATGTGTGTTGTTTGAGCACCCCAAAAGATGGCTTTGTAAGCTGTGTGTGACCCATTCCACTACATATGGTTAAAACTGAATTTCTTTTCACCTGGAACTTTATCAGTCATCTTTCAAATAACTCACAAATAACCTTGAGCTAACAGGTAATCTCTGCAGCTGCACTGGAAACCAGCCCATATATAATGATAATTTCTGAATACTAAACAAGACATAGCTAGTTTCTAATAAATGTAAGTTTTCTGTACTTATTTAGTATACTCTTAATGTTTTAATCTGAATGTTGGGCTGTACTAAGTTAAATACCGTGCAGATATCTGAGCAAATTAGAGCAAAGTGGCCCCTGTGCAAACTAGACTTTTAAATAAATAAGAAATAGCAATCTCATCTGGCAAGCCATTGCCTATAATGTTTTGACTCCCACAACATACAATTCAGAGACATCCCCATGAAGACCAATGTGTGCTTGTACAAGGTCCTAGCAGATTTCAAATGTGTTTGTGGGCACAGAGAGAACTGATGTCTAATGTCACCAGCACAACACAACTAGAACACAAATACTTGTTACTCCAGAACTTAACTTCTCTTCTGGGACTACAGAATCTTTTCTCTATGACACACAGTGATCTGTGTCACACCACAGTACAGATAAACAGATGATAAAATGCACTGAAGTGATGATCTGCCTGGAGGGCAAAAACCCAGCTAAACAAAAATCAGCAGCAGAGAAAAGAAGAGAGAACAGAAGTAGTGGTGTTCACTTTGAGACATTCACCCAGGGTTGTGTTTGGGATTTGACTGTCACACCCTTCATTTCAAATAACTGTGCCTTGAAATTTGCTGCTAAGAGAAATTTGGATGGCATCTGTAGTAAGGAAGACTGGTACATTACATGGGAAATGTTGGGTGACCTTGAGGGTTGGTGTAGTAGGAATGGGAAGAAGTTCAAAAGCACAGAGGGTCAGGGCATGTACCTAGGGATTAATAAACCAAACCTCTGCTGTAAATTGGGAGAGCATCAGGAAGCAAGTACAAAGATGGAGAAAGGTCTGCATGTCTCACCCAACTGCAGGATGACTGTGGGTCTCCAATGTGATGCAGTGTCATGGATTGACCCTGGCACAGTGCCAGTGCTCCCATGAAAGGTGTATTTCCAAAATGGTTACTGTGAGATGTGACCCGGAAATAGAACAAAGCAGGCTCCAACTTGGGAATGGAGGGAAAAAACAACACTTTATTAATATACAACATAAAGACAAGAGGGAAAAAAAAGGAAAAAAACCACACACAACAATCCACAATGGAACACCTCCAAAACACTCCTCCTCCCCCCACCCCTCTAACACTCAATTCCCAGTCCAATTCCAGGCTTCCCACAACCTCTCCCCAGTCCATCAGGAGAGAGGAGTCTCCCTCTTGCACCATGGGCCTCCCCAGGAAACACAGTTGGCCCCTCCTGTGCTTCTGTGTCACACGTGGCAGCCGCCCAAAGAGAATCTGCCGTAGTGACCATCTTCCTTCCATGTCCAGTGCTCTCACCACTGTCCATGGGCCCAAACTGCTTCTTAGGTCCTTTTAAGAATGCCTTGCCCAGTTCCAAGAAGTGGCCTTCTCTCACCATTGGGACAGCTGTCCCCTCCCATATTCACTCCCCTGGGGCCTGGGGCTCAGGAACAGAGATCCTTTGCTGAAGGCAGAGGGCTCCACCACCCCCTCCCCATCAGTCTCTGTTCCCTCTACTTCTCCTGACAGCTTTGTCACTCCTGGCTTCTGACCAACCCCGACGGGCAGTCTCTACATTACAGGAAGAAATTGGTTCCATCCTGTGGCCATGTAAGAGAAAAGTGTAGCTGAAAAGGCCACTCCAATCATCTCCTCCATCTAGGGCACTTCTCATCTGCTGATATTTCTTCACCTACTCAAGACTTCAACTCATTTGCCCATCCTCCATCCCCTCTCAATTCTCAGCTGGGGAGGATCAGTGTTTTTCCAGCTTCCATTGTCTCAGCACCAAAGGGGTTAAAACCTCAGCCGCAGTCTGCCCCCTGCCCCCCCTTCTTCTCCTGGCTATGGTGTTGGCACAAGATACCAAATTTCAAGCCAACACAGACCCTCTATCACTCTCTCCCGGAGAGGGAGCTGCCTGAAACATCCCAGATCTCCTCCTGCATCTTGCAGGGCTCCGGCCTCCCTTCCCTCAGGTTGCATGGCCTCCCCCTCCCCCAGCCAGACGCAGCTGGGCAGGAGAGAGGTCAGATCAACTCACCGCCGGACTCAAAAGAGAAAGCCCTTCTGGGAATCCTCTGCTTTTAACCCCTGTGTGTTCTCAGAGGTGTATCCAGGTCCCCAGCGGCCACACCAGGTGCCAGTTTTCAAATCTGGCCACTGATTGGTTTGGCCATAACTTTCCCAGAGACTCACTTCCTGGTCAAACCATGACATTCAGCAGGAAAAAAGAAAATACAACAACAAAATATTTCAGGCAAAGAATCACCAGCAGGGGAAGGAAACCATCACACTACTTATACAAGGCATTGATTAGACCTTGTTAGGGAAGGGTCCTTCTCATCCATATTTGGGAAAGGCAAGTACAAACAGGAACAGTGGGAGAAAAGGCTCCTAAATTGATAATTGTTCTTACAGAGAGAAGTCTACAAGAAAGTATATGTAGAGTGGGAAAAGGCAAACAGAGAATGCTCCTCATAGGTACAGCAAAGAAAGGGAAATATGAACTAAAGGTTACATTTGACTCAAGAACAACTGATGGGTAATAGATATAGATTATAACTCTCAGCACAGTTTCTAGGTATCAAAGTGTCCCACTGTGGAATTGGATAGTGGTGGGAATAACATCTGCATAGTCCTTGGATTTTTATTACTGAGCTTACTAAGTGACAGTGTTACATCCAACAGGGGAGTACTGTACTAAAAAACTCAGATTACCCTTTCTACTACCATGAGTTACAGACACTCCAGACAAGTTTTGTGATTGAAGTTAAATGTAGCTATAACTGCATGATCCTTGATATGCACCAGAAGGAGCTCAGAATGAAACCAAGTCCAGATCAGGTAAAAAGCTCTGCAAACATATTTTCAGTGACTTAGAAAAGGAGGGACATGTGGAAAGAGAGAACATAAAAACAACAAGAAAAATGCATTTCTTCAAACACCACCATCCTTACCTCCCATGAGGAAGAGAAGCCCTGCCACATACTGCATAAGGCCTCGATCCCAACAGCACCCCAGAACACCGATAATCCATCCAAAGAGGATGATGGCCACAGCCATGCCCATGAAGCCAGCTGTCATCCTGCGCAGATCTGCAGTGGGGAACACAGAAAAACAACATGAGTGGGAACAGTGATAAATCAGCATCATCAGGGGCTCATAACAGTCTTAATCCAAAATGCTACTGATCTGCAAGGACTTCAGTGTGTGTTGGTATGGGATGATTTAAGTGAGGATGATTCAGATCGAGGACAAACCATAAATTAAGTCACTAGCTTGAGCTGGGGAGAGAGAGAGAGCAGCTGACTCTTTTACCACACAATGAAGCTCAGTGCAGATGCACTAAAGTGACTTGTGACAGCTTGCTCAGGAGCTAGAAGTTGTAAAATGTCCTCAGTCCAATGCAGTGCCTAATAACTCCAGTCTCTGGGCACTAGCACAACATCTGTTTACATCTTGCCTTCTCATCTCTGTCCACTACTCCCCAGCATCCAAAGGATGTCCCTGCTCCAACTGATCAGCAAAGCAGTTTCTATGCTTTGTTCCAGCACAGACATGACAGAGTATGCATCTCAGTTGTCACTCTCTGTGTCACTGAGCCCCTCTGGGCCACAGCTTCCCACGTGTAAGTTGGGCCATGGCATCCAGTGGTGGTAGGAGTAAAATGTGGTTCCGCCAGAACAGCAAGGCACACAGATACTCTGGTGTCAGACATCATTAAATGCACTCCAGATACACAGCTGGGACAGAGGACACAGCATTGTCCTCTCTTGTACCCAGATGGTGACCTTGCCAGATGATTTTTGGTGAGGATGTTTATGAGTGCTCCAAGGAGCACTAAGAGTAGGAGGAGGGCAGGGCACTGGAGAAAAACATTTTTGCTCTTCAAATAGGGACTGAGTACATCTGATGTGGGTGACAGGGGCTGACCTGCATTTATTTCATAAATAAAGGAAAAGAGTCCCCAAGTCTTAATGAAAGGAATACTTAAATAAAGACCTGGCTATGTTGCATATTTGCCTTCTGCAAAAAGGATGGGACTATGAGACTGCTGGGAACCATTTTCCTGCATGTTCTGGGAAAAAAAAAATTCTTCACAGTTGGTTTGAATGTAAAATCTGGGCAGTGAGACCACGTGGCAACTGAAAGAGCAAGGACTGTGTGAGCTAAAGATCATCTTCACACCCTCATATAATGAAACAGATGGGGGCACCTTCACTAACATTTGATTATTCCCTGTCCCCCCTTCATTCACACATAAAAAGTTTAAGCATTGATATATCAAGAGTATATGAGCAAAGAAAATTCTAGCCAAGTCAACTCTCTAAACATTTTTTCCTTCTTGAAACTTTTTTTTGCACAGCAATGATTTTACCTTTTTTTTTTTTTTTTTTTTTTTCCCTCAAGAAACAGAATGCTTATGACAGAGAAGGAAGATTTGAAAACTGTGAATCATCCACCAGTCTCTATGGCAGCTTTTCTCCTTGGCTGGCCTTTGACTGTGTCTCAGTTTCTGTTATTTTTTATGCTTTTCCCACAGTAGATAAAAAGACCCGCAATACCCACAACACAAATTCAATAAATTCTGTGAATAGATAAATTACCATCATCAGAGGTTTATAAAACATCATGTCCAAAATGCTAAGTGTCCACCAAGTCTATCAGTATGCTAGGACAGAATGACTTGAAGGCAATTTACTCAGGTCCATGCTCATTATACCACTTTGTATGCAAGATCAAGTTGCAGAACACAACCTCTCCCTTGAAGATGTAATTCCTTTCTGTAGATTATCACTGATTTTCCAAGGAGTCTCTCTGACAGCATAAAGATAACCAGGTCTTCAGCCCACCAGTAACCAGGCTCTTTTAACAAGATACACATCTTAAAAGTACTTTTGTCTTAGGTTTTGTGACTGTCCCACCACATTTGAGTATGTTTAAGGAGCTCTAGTACAAGAAAAAAAAAAAGCATTTCCTGCAGAAACTTGTACTTCCCCCAGGCAATGTCTCTGTTCCTTGGGAATTTCTCAGAGTGCTTTCTAAAACAAGCAGTAAGTGTTAGTAAGCATTTTTGATGGCCAAATATCTTCCTACTTTTTCAGTCCATGAAGCCCTGGGCTCAATTTGAAAATGAAAACATAAAACCTTGACTGTTTCCTGTACCATCTTCCATAACAGCACAGAACATCTCTCCAAGATGCCGCACAGCTCTTTGTGTCAGCCCTACAAACCCCTTGCAATTTAACATGTGATTGCTGACTCCAAGTATCACCATTTGCCTGTCCAAATGGAAACAACCTGTCTCTAATGAGCTCAGCTTAAATAGCTTTATTCAGCTGCAAGATGTCCAGAACCCCTCAGATCCACCCCAATGGATAAAACTGATGGACCCAGTTTTCACAGGCCCCGGAGTGGATCACAAGCATCCCCACAACACGTATGCTAGACTCAGGAATGGTGTTTATCCTGCTAAAATCTCTGTGAATTTTGCCATTAAACAGAAGACTTAAAGGAGGAGGACCAAGATTTCTAGGCCAAATTTTGACATTTGTATCCCACAACCTTTTTGGCTGATTGAGCCTGAAATTCCCTTTCTAACACAGCAAAATCCAAACAGAACTTCTTTGTGAATTCTTAGTTCTCACAAGTTCAGTGAGCTTAAAGATTGCCACTGCTTAGGCCAGTTGCAAATCTGCTCCTCACAAGTCTGTCCACTAGGGATTATCTGAAACAAATAAAATATAAGCTTTCTTTTCTATTTAAAACTATTTGGCTTTTGTCCTGCCATAACATTCTTTGAGGGGAGCCCTTGGAAATGGCAGTGCTGGGAAAGGGAGTTGTAAAATTGGTTTCAACAACAGCCTGCAATTGTCCAACAGCATCCACCTGGCATTCCTCACCTGTCAGTGCCCACATGAAGCTGAGGTCAGTGCTGGGATCAAGTCTACTCAAAGTGATTCTTTTGTGGAAAAGTACTTAATGGATGTAAATGAATCAACACCCTCAGCGTATTTAGAGGAATAGAAGCCTATATTCCCCAGACTCAAACCCTATTAATGGGATTCTTTATGATTACTTTGTTGATGTGGTGTTTGACATGGAAAGGACAGAAGAAAAGCAAAGATTTGCATTGTGTACTCAAGGCAATATCTAAATTCGTTCTGCTAATTTAGGACGGAGGAATGGCATATAAATAAACAATAGCTCATCAGTACAAATTGATGGGGTTTTGTCTGAGTTTGATTGGCACTGATAAGACCCTTCCTGAATGCATCCTGTGAAAGTAAAAAGGGTCATGCTGTCATGTAACACCATTTTATGACGTTTGAGCACATTCTGGGTTTGGTTTATTTTTCTGAAATTGCTTTTATTTATTTTTAGTCTATGAAATTAATAGTTCTCTACATTCTTTCTCTTTTTGAAAACCTCTCTGAGTAATAGGATCTCAGGGTCATGGCGTGACAACACCAATCAACTGAAGGAGTGACTATGCCAGCAAAATGCATTATTGAATCTTATACAGCCAAATGGGAGCTGCAACAGCAAACAAACTTATCTCAGTGCATTCATGAGCATTGCTTAGCTGGTCCTGCAGCTGATCCTCTCCTGGGAAGATCATTCTAAGTCCTCACACTGTAGCAAAGTGCACAGATTGCAGGGACACTGAATTCCCCTTCTCCACCATCTAGCAAACCAAACCTTTAGAAATGTAGCTACAAGCTGAAAGTAAGGAATGTATTGCATTGCTTATTCCATAACATAATAAAAATACAGAAGTTAATTTTTAATGCTTGGCCTATATGACTACTAGTTCCAATGATTTACTATGTGAACATAGATACCAACATCACTTGCGGGTGAAAACACAATATTATCTTTCCACACATTTTTTAGAAACACCTTCTTCATCCCTTTTTCTTTTTAATGTTGACTTAAGGCTATGAGTGAATTATCTTCTCTTTGGGAGACTTTTCATATCTAGCACTGATACAGATGCTGCTGCATGTAGAAGGCAGGGAACTCAATCCTGGCTCAAAAGTAACTGGATCATCAAGCAAGGAATACAGGTATCATTTTCATGTAGGCTGGGAACAACAAACTTCTTGACTGATAACATTGGAGAAGGGACAAAGAATGGGGTAATCCAAGTCCCATGATGGAAGATGAAATGATAAATTTGAAAGCCACAAGTTTTGTGAATCATGATGAAAAGAGACACATTAGCATTTTAGATAATGTCCTTAAAATATAGACAGATTCTCATAAACCAACATGCATTTCTTTAAAGCATTTTTGTTTTCTGCTAGGAATATTAACTCTATAGGTTTCCTGAAGATAAAGAAAGCCAGAAAAGCTGATTAAGAGTAACTTATTTCCAAGCAACATGTGATGGAAGGTTCTCTCTGTCAGTTTGCAAATGCCCCTGGCCTTCCTTTCACCCTGATATCTGTCCATCCGTATTTGTTATGAGCAATAAGGTAATTCATGCTGGTTATCACATCGTGGAAGAAGTTTCACACACCAGCAGCTGCAAACATAACATGTTCTGATTCAGCTTTGCTTTTTAAAAAATTCAATATGCCTTTTTTACTTCTGAGGTTCTGTTCTCTTCCTTGAAATTGCAAGTCATCTTTCTCAAGCAAGGGCTCAGTCTTCCTGTTGATATCTATCTTCCTTTCTACAGAATTCAATAATATTTCCTAAAAACTAGAGACTGCTTTCCTCACAACACATACAGGAAGGACTGCATAAGACTCTTCTGAAAGATGGTCAAGAATAGTCAACATGTCCCCAGCTACATGAAAAGTTTGTGGAGAGTGTATAATTAAATTTGTGTTAGCAGGATTTCTGGACAGCCCTTGAACCACACAGCAGAGCTTTTGCTTTCAGAACTGCTTGTTCTCAAGTATTTACTAGCAAATCAAACTACAGTGCTTCTTATCAGACCCTCAGAAAGTACAATATTGCTGCAATTAGTATTTCAGATAGTCCATCCTACATGTCCTCTTTCCTTCTCCCAAGAGAGAAAGGTCTGCAGGGACTAAGCACCTTGAAGTCTATATCAAGAATATCTAGAACAGCTTAGAAGACA